TTTGGATGGGACCTTTTCACCCTAAGACAGCAAGTATAAAACCTGTTCTCAGTCTCCTGTCGCTTCATGCCTTCCCCATATCCCTTTTCTTCGTTTATAGTATGAATTTACTTCATAATTGGGTCTCTGATGTTTTCCACCCCCCTGAACTAAGTCTGTCATTAGCAGTTGCCTCGTATCCTATAATATATAACATAATATGTAAAATAATTCTTAATCCCATGAGAAAGGTATATTACTATTTCTCCTTTATACATGAGGAAACTATCTGTTTTTCCTTCTCTCTGAATTACTCCCTTTAACATACAAAAAAACTGTTCTTTTCATCATAAGAAAAAAATTAAAGTTTTTTTGTTTTTGTTTTTGTCTTTTTTGAAACAAAGTCTCACTCTGTTACCCACGCTGAAGTGCCATGCTGTCTACCTAACTCACAGAAACCTCGAACTCTTCAGCACAAGCAATCCTCCTGCCTCAGCCTCCTAAGTACCTGGGGCTATAAGCACCTGCCACCACACCTGGCTAATTTTTTTTATTTTTAGTAGAGATAGGGTCTCGCTCTAGCTCAGACTAGTCTTGAACTCCCGACCTCAAGAAATCCTCCCACCTCCAACTCCCTGAGTGCCAGGATTACTGGCATGAGCCAGCGAACCTGGCCCAAAATAAAGTTCTTGACCTAAATTTCCCCTTCAGCTCCCAACTCATTCTTCTGCTGCCCTTGACAGCAGAAATCCTTGTCAGAGTTGTCTGTATTGTCTCAAATTCCTCTCATCCCAGTCTCTGGTAAACCCATTTTAATCACATTGTCACCTCTACATTGCCACTAAATCTACACTTGTCAAGGTCACTCAGCCTCTACATTAGTAAATCAGATCACCAGTTTTTAGTCCTTCCTTGAACTGTGAGTAGCATTGGTCCTACTATCTCTCTCCTTCCTCCTGGAGACATTTTTTCACTTTACTTTCAGGTTACCTTGCTCTCATGACTTTTCTTCTACCCCACACTGGCTATTCTTGTACTAGGTCTTCCTCTTCTACCTGGCTTCTTAATGCTAGAGTACTCTAGGGCCCAATCCTTGGATTCCTGGTGGTGCACAATTTCAGTGCAGTCTTAAGGCCTTGCCTCTCCTCTTGGATCTCTGGGAAGTGTCTCACACTTAAGTCCAAGACTAAAGTCCTGGTCCTTACTTGTAAATCTGCTCCACCTGCAGTTTCCCCATCTTAGTGAATGGCAACATAATCTTTCCAGCGCCTCATGTCAAAAATGGGGTCATTCTTGATTCTTCTTCCATCAGTCTTCCAAGAGATTCTATGTCTACGTTCAAAATACAGGTCAACAGTGGCCTAAATATACAATGGTGGCCCCATAAATTATAATTCTCATTTTTCCTTTACCTTTTCTGTGTTTAGATACACAAATACCATTGTGTTACAGTTGCCTACAGTATTCAGTATAATAACATGCTATACAGGTTTGTAGCCTATGAATAACAAGCTATACCCTATAGCCAAGGTGTGTAGTAGGCTGTGCCATCTAGGTTGGTGTAAGTACTCTTTATGATGTTCCAACAAGGAGAAATCTCTTATCAAATTTCTCAGAACATGTCCTGTTATTACATGATGCATAACTCTATATCCAAAAAAGCCCACTTCTTACCATTTCCACTGCTAACAGCCGACACCTGGTCCAAGCTCTTTGTCTCTTACCATGGTTATTCTACATAATGTCCAGAATAGGCAAATACATTTAGACAAAAAGTAGAGGAGGAGGAGAGAATGGGGCATGTCTGCCTAATAGGTATGGGGCTTTGGTTTTTAGAATGTTAAAAAGTTCTGGAATTAGATAGTGCTGATGTTACCCAACACTGGGAATACATTAAAATCCACTGAATTGCACACTTTCAATGTCAGATGGTTAAAATGGTAAATTTCATGTTATGTGAATTTTAATCTCAAAAAAAATTACTCTTTGACCCAAACGCTAATGGCTCATTTCTCTGAATAAAAGCCAAAATACATAGAATGGTTCTAAGGGCCCCATTACTCCTTTGGCCTTGATCTCCTACTGCTCCCTCCTCACTCTCTACTCTAGTCACACAGTCCCCTAGAAATGCCCTGAATAGGCTAGGCATGCTTCACGCTCAGGTTCTTGAAAACTTTTTGCCTGATACTCCCTTGCCACACTTCCCAGCCTCCTTCAGGTCTTTACTTCACTTCACTGAAGTCTGCCTTGGACACTCTGCTTATAATTGCAAACCCCTCCCCCTCTTATCACTCCCCACCCTTCTTTCCTGATAGTTTTTTCACTTACACACTTTCCACCTTCCCTATACTAACAGTGTACTTTTTGTGTTTGTTGTGTACCTCCCTCAACAATATGTAAATTTTACTATAATAACTACTTAAGTATTTGTTTAGTGAACAAGGCTAAAGAACTTGCCCAAGTTACAGGGCCACCAAATCGAAGGTCTCTGTGTCAAACTTGGGAACTCAGGCTTCCGAGTCTAGGCCCTGAACTACCATGGTATACTGCCAGAGTACCAACTAAATAAACTACTCCCTTTGGAGTATATTAATGTATGATGAAAATCTTTTTTTTTTATTTCATGACCAAGTCTGATGATTTGAAGAAGAGAAGAGAGCCTCACATCTCTGCTTTAAGGTAAACAAGTAATCCAATTTTTTGAATGCCTAACACGTGCTAGGCAGAGTAGCTTAAAGTGCTTTCAATGTCATGTCATATAATCTTTGTTGACATTATTACCCCATTTTATAGACTCGGAGAAATTGAGTTTACCTAGCTTAAAATAAGGGAGCGAGGATACAAACCCACGTCTCTGTTATTCCAAGATTCAAGTTGTCAGTGATAAAATCTTCTGCATTATTAGTAGCCAAGGAAACACAAATTTACACTGGAGATATGTGGTACCATTTTCCACTGTTAGGTGGGCAGTTCCATCTGGCTGTTCCTGAGTTTTCTTCTCTCATAATAAACCAGTAATCTAGTGAGCAAACTGTTTTCCTGAGTTCTGTGAGGTGTTCTAGTGTTAGGAAACAAAATTAATGTTCACTCACCCAGCACAGGAAAGCCAGACTCTGAAGCTGAGAATTGGAGCTGGAGAAAGAGGCATCTTTATTTCAGGGCATCATTCAAGGAACATGGGCAGCTAATGCTTAAGACCCCAGTTCCCCAGGGGCTTACAAGCCAGGGTTTTTAAAGGCAGGCACAATTGTAAATCACTACATGGAGGTTATACATTGGCCTGACCCAAAAAGTGGGATAACTTGAAGAGGAGGGGTCCTAAGTGAATTCAGACATTCTTGTATTAATGAGAAGCAATTTGAAGATGGTGTAACAGTAATTTTTAGGGGAAATTTTAGAACAAAGAATGAAGGTCAAAGTTCGGTTCCTTAGTTCTCCCATCTGCATTTTCCATCCTATGGGAATTTTGGAAAAACAACTCAAGAACCTATGTTAAGATGCATATCTAGTTTCCATGTGACACCAGAATACTTTGCACCTCTGGCTTACTTGGAGGGTCATTCTTCTCCTCAGGTTGTCCATTCACTTTATTTCCCAGCTGGGTGACCTGACTGACCCCTAAGAGAGATCCTTGCCCCATATCACTAGCAAATTATCAAACCCAAGGGGGACATTGTGGGAACCTCAGATTTATAGCCTTTGCTTAGAAGCACGAATCAAAACCTGATATGAACTAACAATATAAAATCTTAAGCACCCCAGTTGACTGAATGAACCCCCAGAACTCCAGAAAAACCTTACAGCTGAGTTGCCAGCCATGCGGAGATGGAAAATCAGGCACACCCTGTTTATGCCTCCTCCCTTTTGTAATTACTCTTTGTAACAATAAGATGCTAAATCACTAACAGGCCAATGGCCAAGCAAGACAAGGGTTAAGCCACATCTGTAGCTATCAGTTTGCTTAACAGATCACTTGAGTCTGGGTATATGTCAGTGGCTTCTCTCTGATTAACAAACTTCCTCATCTTAAAACATTCCAAGTACTGAGGCAAATTATGAATTAATTACAAATCAAAGAATCTTTAAACCCACATGTGACTTAGAAACCCCTTGAAGCCATCCTACCTTTTCAGGCCAAATCAATATATACCATCCACATATTTATTGATTGATTGATTTACATGTAATTTCTGTCTCCATGAATTTATAAAACCAAACTGTTTTTTCTTAGAACCTCTTAAAACTATGTGCTTAAGGCTTTCAGTCACACATACTTGGCTCAGAATAAATCTTTATTTTACAGGTTTTGGAGTTTTTCTTTTAAGGATGGACTTAGAAGTTGTGTGTGTGTTTGGAGACAGTGGCAGGGAGGTGGCAGCAGTCTTGTGGGGCTAAGCCCTTAACTTGTGCTAACCCCTGGTAGATAGGGTCAGAGTTGAATTGAATTGTAGGAAACCCAGCTGGTGTCAGAAAACTGGTCAGTGTAAGGAGAAAACACACATTTTGTGTTAGAAGTAAAGTATATAAAGAAAAACAGTTGAGCTTCCCATTTTAGTGCTGGAAAATATGTCTGAAAACCAGCAATTTGGTTTTGACCACTAGCATAATAGGCTGTTATGACAAAGGCCAAACTGCTATCATGACAGTGCATACTTTAAATTTAGGAGAGGCTGGGTGCAGTGGTTCACACCTATAATCCCAGCACTTTGGTAGACTGAGGTGGAGAATTGCTTGAGGCCAGGAGTTCAAGACCAGCCTGAGCAAGAGTGAAACCCATCTCTACAAAAAAGATTTAAAAAGTAGCTGAGCCTAGTGGCATGCACCTGTAGTACCAACTACATGGGAGGCTGAGGCAGGAATATTGCTTGAGCCCAGGATTTTGAGGTTGTAGTGAGCTATAATGACATCACTGTACTGTGCAGGTGAAAAAGTGAGATTCTCTCTCAAAAAAAAAGAAAAAATTTAGGAGGAAGGGAATACCAAAAAACTAAAGTGAAACATTAGAACAAAAATATGCTGCTATATGTCACCAAACATAGAGATTTACATTTGTTTCTCTGGGAATATTAGTCTTAAACTATTCAAGTTTAAACCAAGAAACATTTCCCAGGATCTCATGAATGACATCTGAGAATGGATCTTTTGAATAAAATAAGAATAAAATGTGACCTCCAGGAAAGAACAGTTGTGGCCTAGATTCAAATAATCTACAGTAGCGTAACAAGTTATCTTTTGTTTATGTTTCTAGGAAAATTCTGTTTGAAGATTTCCGGGCCTGGCTTTCTGACATTTCTAAAATTGACCTGGAATCAACTATTGACATGTCCTGTGCTAAATATGAATTCACTGGTAAGGAAGACAAAGTCCTAATGTTAAGGCCTGATACAGTGGCTCATGCTTATAATCCCAGCACTTTGGGAGGTTGAGGCAGAAGGATCACTTGAGGCCGAGAGTCCGAGAACAGCCTGAGCAACATAGCAAGACACTATCTCTATAAAAATTTAAAAATTAGCCAGCATGGTGATGTACACATGTAGTCCTAGCTACTTGGGATGCTGAGGCAGAAGGATTGTTTGAGCACAGGAGTTCAAGGCTGCAGTGAGCTGTGATCATGCCTTTACACTCTTCCTGGGCAACAGAGTGAGACCTTGTCTCTTTAAAAAAAAAAAACCCTGATGTCTATAAGATTTAAAGGCTTTAACTCGATGATGGAAAGATAGCATCGCTATATCAAAATACTAGACTACTAGGTCCCTGCAGAGCATCACAGTCTTTCTAATAAGGACTCAGTTCATATACAGAAATGCCTACCTTTATTGAAAGGTTTAAACAATGGTCCTCTTTGAGCATATGATGAAAAATATTACCATATTTTCAGGAAAATGTTCACTATGCACATACACACCAACTTTGCCTGCAGGATCAGGAAATTTAGAGATAATACTCTGAACTCTATTCTTAGACTTCCTAAGAAACAACCAACTCCTTCAATGCTGTTTTCTCTTCTTTATTTTGAAGGTAATACCACATAAATGAACACATTCTCAAGGAAAAAAATTCAAACAATATACTAGTAAACCATGAAAGTCTTCTTCTTCACTTTCTTCCTGCCTCCTTCTGCTCTTCAGAAATACCCCTTGTCATCAGTATGGGATATTTCCTTCCAGTTCCCTTTCTGAGCATATAAATGTTGTTTTGTTGTTTTCTTAGAGACAGGGTCTCTCTGTCACCCAGGCTAGAGCTTCAGGACTCAGGCCATCTGCCTGTCTCAGCCTCTCAAAGTGCTAGGATTAGTAGGTATGAGCTGCTGCACCTGGCCCCATGTTTCTTTGTTGTTTTGTTTGAAAACAAGTTTGGTTTTTTACCTACAAGAAAGTTTTTTTTTTTTTTTGCAGTTTTTGGCCGGGGCTGGGTTTGAACCCACCACCTCTGGCATATGGGGCCAGCACCCTACTCCTTTGAGCTACAGGCACCACCCTGAAGTTTTTTTTTTTTTTTATTTGATAAATACAATTTTAATTTAGGTTGGTTCTCATACACTGTCCTGGGGAAGTATAAATTACAAACAACTTTTGGAGGATGATTTGCTGATCTATATATGAAAATCCATATCATATCATTTCCCATTATTATTTTTCTTTTTAATGTGAAGTAGTTTCAAAGTTACAGAGAAGTGGCAAGCATCATACAAATAATTTATTCTGTTTCCTGTTTTACTTGAGAGTCAGATGTCATCATGTTCCATGACCCCTGAAAACTTAGTCATTCCTACAAGGACATTTTCCTCTGTGATAGTAAAGAACTACCAAAATCAGGAACTTGACATTGATGTAATATTTCCGTATAAATTCACAGCCCCATTCAAGTTTCATGATTGGGTCCCTCATAGTGAAAGGATCCAGTCTGGGTTACACAGTGTGCGTTTAGTTGTCCTGTCTCTTCAGTCTCCTTCAGTCTAGAATAGTTCTTGTCTTTCCTGGACTTTCATGATCTTAATGCTTCTGAAAATTTACAGTCCAGTTATTTTGTCAGATTTTCACAATCTGAGTTTGAGGTTTCCTCGAGATGAGACACAGGCCATACATTTTTGGCGGTGATTTCATGGAAGTAACACTGTGTTCTTTTTGCTTCGTCCTGTCAGATAGAACATGGTTTCTGTGTGTCACATTATTAGTGATCACTTGATTAAGGTGGTAGCTGACGTCAGGATTTCCTGCTATCTTTTTCCCCTCTGTCAGTTTGTATTTTGTGGGGAGATTATGTAAATATCCCACTTCCCACCAAAGATAGATTTTCTTGTTTTAGTATACTCTGATGTTGCTATTTAGCAAGGTTGCCAAATGGCAATTTTATAATACAGTCATTTCTCTGCATTTATTGTTTATTACATTCCACTATAAAAAAAACCTTTCTTTCTCCCTGTTTATTCATTCATTCATTTGTATTGGTATGGACTTACAGATTACCATTTATGTAATATATAACGGATCAGTTACTGTCATATGGATGTTCTTACTGTCCCTGACTGATCATCAAGAGCCCCTCCAACTGACTTCCTGTGTTCTTTTGTTATAGCCCCATCTTTCTTTTACTTCTTACTTTTAGCAAAACAAAACTTTCCATGCCCAGTGGTTATCTTGTGTTTTACATGCCCAGATCCTAGAATGACCTGGAGTTAGCCTTTTTTCCAAAGAACCCTGGTTCCTTTGAGTGAAGAATGACACTTAAAAAATCAAGATCATGATGCTTGGTGTCTTTGCTATTAGGGCGTCCCTGTTTCCAGACCCTTCCAGCGGAAGGAGTGATAGATGTATGTACAGATGTGCACACATACAGATGCACACACATGCACTGACACTTGTATTTTGCTATGTAACTACAGATAGGGATATAGGAAACTAAATTTATACTAATTACTCCAGTTCCAGTTAACACCACACAGTTCATTCTAGGGTCCTCCTTGTCCATATTTGTAATTCCCTTTTTCAATAGTGAAAAACCTGGCTCCCATTATCTTCAGTGTATTTAGTTATTTTTGGTGAACAATCTGAGTTTTCCCTCCCTGTCTGACCCTGCATAAATGACTACCTTGCTCAGCCCCACCAAAAGGCTTTTAGAAATTTAGCTCATGAAATTATTGTACAAAGAAATCTTATGTACAGTAATGTTCCTTAAACATTCTTTATAATAGCCAAGAAATAGAAACAACTAATAAATAGGAAATCAACTAAAGCAGGAGGGAAGTGTATTCATAATCCATATAGTAGAATGACTATAGCCATTAAAAATGATATCAAGTGTATACATTGATAGGGAAAGACACCTGCCATGTAATTTAAAAAGCAGGCCACAGACAATCACTGTAGGATGCCATTTCTTTTTTTGTTTGAAGATAGAGTCTCACTTTGTTGCCCTCGGTAGAGTGCCATGGTGTCAGAGTTCACAGCAACCTCAAACTCTTGGGCTCAAGCAATTCTCTTGCCTCAATCTCCCAAATAGGTGGGACTACAGGCTCCTGCCACGCCGCCTGGGTATTTTTAGAGATGAAGTCTCGCTCTGGCTCAGGCTAGTCTCAAACCTGTGAGCTCGGGCAACCCACCCCCCTCGATCTCCCACAGTGCTACGATTACAGGCATGAGCCTCCACTCCAGGCCAGATGCCATATCTTAAAAAATGAATACATTTATGAAAGAAAAATACTTGAAGAATATATGCAAAAATATTATTAGCGATTATATCTGGATTTATCAATACATGTGCTCTTCATTGTTTTTAGACTTTCCTATATTGACTGAATTTTATTTCTATACTTAACAAGAGGAGAGCAATTAAGTGTCATTTTGAAGCTGGAGGACATTGATAAAGCTGGAGCTAACACTACAGATGAGTCTCAGGTGAACTGATATTAAAGGCAGAGTCAGATGTCAGCTGCTCATTATCTGCGTGGGGATCTAAGGTGTGCATTCAACTATTGTAGATGCCCTACTCTGCCACGACGATGAGCTGGAAGGCCGCCGGATTGCCTTCATTTTGTACCTGGTTCCTTCCTGGGATAAGAGTTTTGGGGGCACACTGGACCTCTTCAGTACTGATGGTAAGACAAGTACATGCTCTTCACCACCAATGGCCATTTCTGAATTAAAGCTGAGTTGATTCAGCATCACTGTTCCTATATACAATGTTTGTGCTCCTCAAAAGAAATAGTGACTATCTCAGAGAAATTGGTACCCTGACAACTACCTTTATGAGTCGTACTTAAAATAGTCATTACTCCTAGACATACAGAATCAGTTTACAAAAAGGATTCAGACCCTGCTTCTGAATACTGAACATGGAAGGGTAAGGTGCCTATAAAATTGCCCATGGTTATGAATCTTCTAAGACCAGTCCATTGGACAGAATGTCAAGGTTTTTTGAATGGCTGACACCAGAGGCTGATTCCAGGAAACTTTAAGAACTGATTATAGGCCTTCTCAATAATAGATGGATAGTAAAGCAAGAGCATTTGCCTTCTAGTCAAACTAGCAAATATGAGTGCAATAGATGGAAGGGCATGTTATCTCAGGATCTAGAGGGTACACCTAGATACGCTCAGAAATTTGGGAATTGTCAAGAGTGAAATGAGGCAGCCTGGAAGTGGTTAATGATAATGAACCCCATTTACGGATGTGTTCTCTCCTGGTGCAGAACACTTTCAGCCCAAGCACATCGTCAAGTCTCTTATCCCTTCGTGGAACAAACTGGTCTTCTTTGAAGTGTCTCCAGTATCCTTTCACCAGGTAAAGATTATATAAGCCACAAATAGAGTACTAAGGATTGTGCTTTTTAGTTAAACATGACAGCTTCCTGTTAAGACTCATGAGCTGATGGGCTTGATGTTCTCTAGAGCTGCTGTTCCTTCAGGTGTCTGACATTTAGCATAGAGGTTAAAGTGTGTTGGCTGGTGATCTCCCTGCTTATTCTTTGTGTTGGTGCTGCTGGACTTGTCCTTTCAGGTGTCTGAAGTCCTGTCTGAAGAAAAGTCACGTTTGTCTATAAGTGGCTGGTTTCATGGTCCTTCACTGACCAGGCCTCCCAACTACTTTGAACCCCTCGTACCTCGGAGCCCTCACATCCCACAAGACGTAAGGATAATTTCTGGTATCCTTATCTTAGGAGCTATAGCATATCATTTGTTTTTCTGATTTTAAAATGAACTGTTCCCTGATAATAAAACTAAACTAAGCTTGTCCTTTCCACTTCTCTTAACTTTTGATCGTGTCTTTCTCAGCAGAATTTTCCTATTAAAATTTATGTTTAATAGGAGAATCTTATAAAGTGATGATTTGTTTGTATTTCACTAATGTGAAAAGGTGTAAGAGCAAAAGAATAGCAATTAGCAACTTACCTTTTGTATCTACTGCTTCTTTGTAAGCATGAAATTTTATATGATTGGATCAACCCTACTTATCTGGACATGAATTATCAAGGTCAAATTCAAGAAGAGTTTGAAGAAAGTTCTGAAATTCTCCTCAAGGAGTTTCTTAAGGTAGGCTAGCATATTTTGTTCTGTACACATTGTTGGGCAGGCAGTTTTGCTTCCTGAATGGATGAATAGGTATCGCTAGGGAGTTTTTGTTTTGTTTATTATTAGAATATTTATATCATTCCCTTCCTCAAATAAAGTACAGAAATGATGATGATAGCTCACATTGGTATCAGCTATATGCTTCGTAGGTTAAGAGTTCCTTGGGTACACGTATTTCCCAGTTCTGTAGAGTCTACATGGTAAACACACACACACATGCTTCCATCTAGAGAAGGAATTATGTATAATTACCTTCCTATTCATCTCATCAACGGAGTACTTAATAATGGGTCAATATCTTATTATGAATGTTTGACAGGGATGAGGTAGCTTATTATAGTGGGAAGAGATCAGAAATCAGAAGACCTATATTCATGTCATGGCTCTATGGTTTTAGTAACCTGAGCAAATCACAAAATCACTGTATATATTTCATCATCAACTAAACTGGGATAATACCTGCCTTGCTCTCTTGCAGGGTTGTTGTGAGGGCCAAATTAGATAACTTAGGCTTGTGTGATGCTTCACAGTTAACTGTGGGTCCCATGGAATCATAGTCCCAAGAGCGATCCCTCCATGAAGAAAGGCTGAGTGATACCACATACTCTCTCTCTCTCTCAGAATTTTATTGCTGACATTAGCATATTAAGATTTTAAGAAGTATTACATTAAATTTGTTGAATGGAGTCCTTCCCTTTTCACATATTTATGGCTGATAGGATTGCTTGAGAAACTGCATTACACAAATAAATGTAAAGCCTCTTGTGGAGGATATTTTAATAGATTAGCCACCTGCTTACACTGCACCTCACTTTTGGAATTTAGAATGCTTATTAAATAAGGAAACAAGGTAGGGCCTAGAGAATTATGGTGTTATACAGCGATTTTTATTGTAATGACCTTGACTGTAATGCAGTTTAATTGTTTTTCTATAACATCTTATAAATTAAAAAGTCTGTATTAATGATCTTCATTCTATAAATGCTAGAATTTAGGAGGTTTAGCAATTTGATGTAAGATATACAACTACTTATGGGAATGGCACAAAATGGCACTTGGTTCTCTTAGCTAAGCAAGCTGATGAGTTAGCCAGTCTTTGGCGGGCTTCCTTACAGCAGGAACAGGGGATATTGTGTGAAAGGCGCGACAGCTGGACCTTTGAGCGGTCAGCCAGTTTGATGTTCTACAGAGCTACTGTACCTGCTAAACCAGTGTAGAGTCATAGGGAGCTTTGCTAATGACTTTATTTGCTCATTTTCCAGCCTGAGAAATTTGCAAAGGTCTGTGAGGCCCTGGAGAAAGGAGATGTGGAATGGAACAACCGAGGTCCCCCTAATAAAAGGTAGAACCCATCATCTGAGACGATGAGCCTCTGCTTTCAGCACTTAACGTTTTTCTCTGCAGGGCTTACTCCTAATACCAGAACATTTGCCCTAATGATGTTTTATTCCCAGGGACATCCAAAAGAAGGCCCTAACAGAGTCTCACTATTTCAACAACTTACACTCTAGTAAGCTTTGCCAAGATTTAGGAAGAGGTACAGAGCTAACCATCTACTTTTATTCCATGAGTTACTTTACATCTGATCAACTTGATGTTGTTTGTCAGGTTTTATGAGAAAGCTGAAGAGAGTAAGCTTCCCGATATACTGAAAGACTGCATGGAATTATTCCGCTCCGAGGCACTGTTCTTGCTGCTCTCCAACTTCACAGGCCTGAAGCTTCACTTCTTGGCCCCTTCAGAAGATGAGACTGATGACAAAAAAGAGGAAGAAGCAGCCTCTGCTGCTGATTGTACTGAAGAAGGGACTAGCCATAGCTCCTCTGCACCAGAGCATAAGCAGGCAGCCGTTAGCAGCGAGAGCCAACAGACAGGCCCAGAGCCAGAGGAAAATGAAACAAAGAAAGGTAAGCTGTTGCTAGGATTTGTCTTCCTTTACCACTAACCATTCAGTCTTTTACTCATTCAACAAACATTCTCCAGCACCTACTATGCACTAAGCCAAATTTAGGAGCTAGAGAACAAGACAAACAAGATCACTGGTCCCTGGGAGCTTACATTCTTATAGGAGAAGACAAATGTATTCACAAATAACAAGAAAATATCAAATAATGATTAAGTACCATGCAGAATACTGTGATAGGGTTACATGAAAAGGATGACGGTGGCCTCTGGTGGATGGGTGATCTAGAAAAGCCTCTCCAAGGAGCTGCCATTTAAGCTCAGATCTCGACAAGAAGGATCTGTGGGAAGAGCATTCTAGGTAGGAAGAACAGCTAGTACATTTTATTAGGGTAAGAGTAGTGCAAGTGGTGGAAAGAAAAATAACTGACCTAAAATTACTCTAAAACATAAGAACGTAAAGGAAAGGAATGTTAGCAGTTTATTTCTGCTAAAGACCAGTAACAGCCTAAGAAAATCTGCCTGAATAATACATTTGCTTCCACAAATAAGTAGAAGGAAACTAATGTAAGTAGAGAACATTTATCTACAAACAAGGTGGAAATGAAAAATACAGGAAATTTAAGAGGTAACAACACTCCTGTGAAAATTTTGAACTGAGTAACTACAAATTTAGCTTAGATGTCTCAGCCTTTACTGAGAGTGGGGCATACAAACATGAACGAGAAAATCTGTCACCTTGCTCCTGCCTCAGTTTTACCATCTCCTGCTTCCGCTCTTGATTTCTTTGTTTTTGTTTTTTTTTTTTAAGACAGAGCCTCAAGCTGTCCCCCTGGGTAGAGTGCTGTGGCATCACAGCTCACAGCAACCTCCAACTCCTAGGCTCAAGCGAGTCTCCTGCCTCTGCCTCCCAAGTAGCTGGGACCACAGGCGCCCGCCACAACGCCCGGCTATTTTTTGGTTGCAGCCATCATTGTTGTTTGGCGGGCCCGGGCTGGATTCGAACCCGCCACCTTAGGTGTATGTGACTGGCGCCTTAGCCACTCGAGTCACAGGCGCCGAGCCCACTCTTGATTTCTGAAGAAGAACTCTGTGTTGTTAGGAGAGCCAAGGTAAAAGGCGAGTACTTTTGGTAAGAAAATTATTGGTATAAGATGCTAACCAAAAGCAACGTAACTCATTCTGTGGCCTCCCAAAACTGACCAGCCAGTCATCGTGGTCAGCACAGATACTTAGACCCAGGTGGGTTTTTCTGTGCTATTCAATACACAGGACAACCTTTCTTTGAAAGATTAGTTTTCCTTGATAATTACCATGGCATCTAAGCCTAGTCCCTAAAAGAAGTTAGGGTGAGGAACTATGGAATCTCCAGAGCTTTGTAAAAAAAATTGTCCACGTCTGTTCCTTTTTGGTTTCATTTTCATGGGAACCTACAACAGTGGGATAAAATCTGTTTGGGCAGCCACACGATGCTGTGTTCTGCTACTGAGCATCTGCTGTATGCAAAGTCCTGGGCCAAAACAGAACAGGGAATACAGACATGAATGAGAAAATCACTGTAAGTTTACCATCTTGAGGAAGAACTGTTACAGCTTTTTAAAAATCATTATTATAAAAGCTATAAAGTTGTTGGCAGATAGCAGTGTTAAATGTTGGCATACTGAAATTCAGACCCTCATGTAGGGTTCATCTCCTGAGATAATCAGAACTATTACAGACCTGGTAATATTTAGTTTTGTTTTTTGGGTTTTTTTAATAATATACAATAACTGCCAATTTCAGAATGTTTAGAAAACAAATATGTGAAAGAAAATTAATAATCATCTGCTGATGGCCATATTAACATTTAGAATATATCCTTTTTTGCCATATGGGCATATACATGTATGAACATACAAAGACTTTTCCAACTTTGCTTTTTCTATAGGTAAACGTGGCATTTGCCTTTCATTGATTAATTGTACATGATTGTACCTTTTCCCCGGCTGGTTGAATTCCTTTCATTAACTGCCTGTCATGGCCTCAGTGTATTTTTCCTTTGGGCTTTTTGTCATTTTCTTACTAATTACAAAAAGAAGAGGTTATATATAGGAGTATTATATCTTCTATTCTATAGGTCACAATAGTTGGCTTTTTAATTTTGTTCAGCATGTTTAAATTCCATAGACTGTTTAGTAATCAGATGTATCTTTGCCTTTAATGGTTTCTACTTCTTGTGGTTATAAGCTGAGAAATAGTTTCTCTACTCCAAGATTAGATAAAATAATATTTATGTTCTATATTTTATTTTTTTCCATCTGAAGTCTATTATAGAGATAAACTGAAATTCAACATTTTTTACCTCCAAATAGTCAGACCTGGTAACTTCTCACAATCATTTATAAGGCCAGATTGATCAGCTGAAGGTTTATGAGAATGATTTCCCCTTATTGCCGTGTCACTCATTCCTAATTATCATTTCCTTGCAATCTAGCAATTATATCAAGGTTATTTTTTTTAATTTTCTGGTCCTTCTGCTATTTTTTCTCAGAATTAAGTGTTCCCACATGCCAAGGAGAATTGAGGCATTGGAAGACGGGTCACTACACTTTAATCCATGACAATAGCAAGGCTGAATTTGCCCTGGACTTAATTCTCTACTGTGGATGTGAAGGTATGAAGGAGGAAGGAAAGCAGTGCATTGTTCCCAGAGGAGGGGCAGGCTCTCCCAAGTAACCCTCTCCAACTGCACCAATTCATTAATTTGCCTTGGCCAGAATCTCTCATTACATGATTGTAAAGTTGGAAGGGATCTTGGGAATCATGAATTTCAGTCTCCCAACTCAAAGCAGGATTTCTGTCTGGACTAGGGAATGGGGAAGTGGACTATGCCATAATTTCCCCCTAAGTCTTCCCCCAGGACTACAGCTTTTATATAATTACCTTTCTGGGTATAATTTAACACTTATAACTCTTTATTTTCTTATTCAAATTAAGACTGTTCCACTATCTCAGGAAATTAGGCATTTAGGGTAGAGGGAATCCACAGTAAGCTAGATAAATTCAAGCTCCCCGTTGGTAAAGTGGGTTACTACTGAACTCCCAGACCCTCACTGTTAGGCAGCATGGGATCGGTGATTTAAGGTGACGATGTAACCCTGGCAGTGACAGAACTTGCTCAGTGCTGTTTGTTTTCCCCTTCTAAGGCTGGGAGCCAGAGTATGGTGGCTTTACTTCCTACATTGCAAAAGGGGAAGATGAAGAGGTAAGCTGCTTCTGATAGCAAACTGTCCTCTTTAGATTGGGAGAAAGCTTTCATTCTTCAGAGACTCAATTTTGATGACATTCTACCAGTGTCTTTAGCTGATAAATCTATTGATCTGCCTGGTAGTGGTTCTAATGTGGTTTTTTTTTTTTTTTTTTTTTTTTGCAGCTTTTTTTGGCCGAGGCCAGGGTTTAAACCCGCCACCCTGTCATATGGAGCTGGCGCCCTCCTCTTTTGAGCCATAGGCACTGCCTCCAAGTCATTCTAATTTTTATCTGAAAATATTCAGCATGGAATAAAGATGCTAAATAGTAATCACTAAGCATTTATTCTACCTTTCTAAGCAATTCCAAATTAAGAGTTACATGCATTCCCATGTATCTTTCAATGTAGTAAGAGATAACTGCAGTAGGTGAAAGCTTTCTGGGTATGTGCTGAAATAGGGCTTGTTGGACAATGTCTTCACATCCAGAACAGAAGTTTTTCTCCTAAAAAGATCTTTGGGAGGACTCCCTACCCCAAGTTTGGGTACTTGATATGGAAACCATTCGGTTGTGAATCCTTGAAGAGTTGAGAGTAAGCTCTGTGTTCTCATGTGTCATGGTATTTGTCTATTTCAGCTGCTAACAGTGAATCCAGAAAACAATTCTTTGGCCTTGGTCTACAGAGATAGAGAGACTCTGAAATTTGTCAAGCATATTAACCACCGAAGTCTAGAACAAAAGAAAACCTTCCCAAACAGAACAGGTTTCTGGGACTTTTCATTCGTCTATTATGAATGATAGGACTGCGCAAAGCGGAACAAAAACATGATCCTTCATTAGTACTGGGAAATCTGGAGGAGCTGGGCACGGAGTGAGGTAAAGCTGCTTGGTATATTGTCTACATTGTTCTTAACACTGGTTGCCCTTTAATAGGATTCTATGACTGTCTCAACCTAGACCTTGAGCTTGGAGATAATATACTTATTTCTTCATTAAAAAAAATTTTTTTTTAACTTTCAGTTTTTTCCATATTGATGTCTTCAGTGATTTAAAAAAATGTTTATTGTGGTAAAATATTTATAACAAAAAATTTACCAACTTAACTATTTATTCTTAAATATATTGTTCAGTAGCATTAAGTACATTCACATTATGGTGCAGCCGTCACCGCCGTCCGCCTTTAGGGCTCTTCCATCTTCGCAAACTGACACCCTGTCCCCATTAAACAGTAGCTCCCCACTCTCCACTCCCCCCAGTGACTTTCTGTCTCTACTAACTTGACTGCTCATGCTCCTTGTGTAAGTGGAGTCATACAGTCCTTATCCTTTCATGAAGGGCTTATTTCACTTGGCATACGGTCTTCAAGGTTCATCCATGTTTCCAGTGATTTTTTTTTTTTTTTACTCATAAACGAAGATTTTCGTTCTTCCCAATAACACTGGTTTAGGCAATTTCTCTTGCCTCAGCCTCCCAAGTAGCTGGGACTACAGGCACCTGCCACAGTGCCCGGCTATTTTTTGTTGCAGTTTGGCTGGGGCCGGGTTCAAACCTGCCGCCCTCGGTATATGGGCTGGCGCCCTACCCACTGAGCCACAGGCAGCACCCTGAAAATTACAGAACTTGACATCCTGTTTATGCTAGGCCTTAGGGTTCAGACACAGTGAGTATTATACTTCTTTCCACTGCCTCTCATTTTGTTTCACTACGATTCTCACAAGACAGTAAAGACTTAGATGTGTAGTATTATTCCCTTGGCAAAGATCTGGCCTAAAACTAGAAACCACACAGCCTCCAGAAACTCCTGGTCAATGAGATAAGTTGCTTGTTGCCACGTGTAGTCATTCTCAGGTACCCACTGCCTTTCCATCCTAGTTGCGGCTTATGAATAATTAAATGATTCTAGCCTCACATCTTTCCTTTTCCTAAATACTGTAGGGTCAACTTATGTACAATATATAGTTGTGAACAGTAAGTCCCTGAGTTATAAATATCTGACAGATAATGTGACTCACACTACAAACAGCGGCTATTACAGGTAATAGGTAAATGTACCTATTCCAGCTTACACACAAATTCAATTTAAGAACAGACTTACAAAACCTATCTTGTTCGTAACTGAGGGACTGCCAGTAACTGCTTTTTTTTTTTTTCACAGTCTCAAGCTTTTGCTGTGGTTAGAATGCCATGGCTTCATAGCTCACAGCAACCTCAAACTCTAGGGCTCAAGTGATCCTCTTGCCTGAGTCTCCCAAATAGGTGGAACTGCAGGCGCCCACCACAATGCCCGGCTATCTTTTAGAGACGGGGGTCTCGCTCTGGCTCAGGCTGGTCTCAAACTCCTGAGCTCAAGCGACCCACCCACACAGACTCCCAGAGTGCTGGGATTACAGGAATGAGCCACTGCTCCTGGCCACTATAATTGCCTTTTTTTAAGAGACCAAATACTAAAAGCCAATCAAAATGCCAAGATGCTGTCCATTTTGTTACTTTTTTTTTCTCTGAACTGTTGCAGAATTTTCTAACTCCTACGTGTGGGTGTGCATGGGTGGATGAAAGAGGCTGTTCTCATTCCATCCTCTACTGTCTCCTGTTTCCTTTCTCTTTTATACATTTATTTCTAGCTTTTCCAGTAGCTTTTCATGTCAGTTTTACTAATTAATAGAATAAAAGCACGGGGCCTTTAAACTTAACTACTCTTCTCTTTTATCTCTCAAAACTTTGAGTACTGATTCTTTCCTGAAGTTTGCATTTAAATGAGAATTTCATTTTCTTTTAGGTTGATGGTTTCCAAAATTTTTTTTTTTTTT